GGGAAATTTAATTAAAGTGTGTAGAGTGCTTTGAGAGCCTTCGATGAAAGGCTAGAGCAGCATCAGGTATTAATGCATTCATTAGCAGAGTCCCCGCTGGGCGGCTGGATTTGTTCTGGACGCACACACCCTACATGCTAATGCAGCGGAGGCTCAAAGCAGCATCGTGGCAGCCCGGGATCCGTGCTGGTGGCAGGCAAGGCTGGAGGAAGCCGTCTCTCGAGCACTTTCGGAATTGAAATTCCACTCCAGCCCCTGTCGGTTTCCTAAAGACCAAGCGTTTGCGCCTTTGTTAGCGCTCAATTAGACTGGGCTTTGAGGGGGAGATAGAGATGCTTAAAAGTTCTTTTTGCTGCGTTCAGCTTTTACAAAGGGAAGCATCAGGACGCTCTCAGGGGGAGAGTTGCTCTTGCAGAGGTTTTTAAGCACTCTTTTGACGTTCATTTGATTTTTGCTACAGGAACCTGCAGTCTCTTGGAGCGCACCAGACCACAGAGGCATCGCCTCGGGCAGTACAGGAGTTTATAGACTAGGTTGCGGACCTTGCGCTTATTTTATAAGCGCTCTTGAACGGCATCTTGGCCTTTGACACGCGCAGGTGAGAGGGCAAGCACCTCCTGCAGGAGGGGAATGGCATCCGGCTGGTCACATAGGAAGATGACGAACAAGCAGGAAGCCTCTGTGCGTTTAAGGACGTGAATCGGAGGTTTGCTGCACACTTGGTCTGGGCTCTGCCTTGCCAGGCATTAGAGGAAGGAAAGTGCTGTAGTTAGAGGCCCTGCTGGGCAGGAAGAGTCTCCCTATGGGCCAGATCCTTTCCCACCCATCAGAAGGCCAAGTGGTGTGGAGGATATCCAAGTGCCATCCTATTCTACCAGCTTGAAAACCCATTCAATTCATAACGTGCCTTTGTCCTGGCCATGGGTTCTCCAGGACTCAACCTGGGTGTGACCAGAAAGCAGTTTGACTCCAAAGTACCTCTTTGGCACCCAGGATCTGCCTCTGTAGCATCTCTACAGCACCTAGCACAAGAGGGTCCCCGTCCTGCTCTGGTGCCACTGCCACGTACGTCATTAATAGCAACAAAAATGCGTTATTAATACCATCGTTAATAGCAACATCAAGTGCAAAGCTGAAGATTTACCTTCAGTTACTGGCACTGCTACATGCTCCCCGGGTGAGCTTGGGCAGGTGACTTAGGGCCATACTCTAGTCCATGTACCTAAATAAATGAGATTCTCTTCTACTTGGCTCAAGGCCCTGGAGATCAGTTAAAACAGAAAGTGGCCGGGTTTTCCTCCTCCATCACACTGCCTATTTGTGACTAAAGTCCTGAGGGTCAGGTGATGGCATGTTGCAGAAGGAGGTGTATTGATGGCTGTTTAGGACTTGAACAGAGCAGAAGAGGATCACACTTAGGTGCTGAAGGCCACTTGGATGCCCACTAGGTGAAGTAACTAGGATTCAAGTCTGAGATGGTCCCAGTGATGCACTGCCACTGTATCCCAAATGTCCAATTTATATTTTTGAATAAACAAAAAATAATCTGCCTGTTAAATAACATTGGATCATTAAACCGATGACTCCGAGGAGGTGTCCGATGCCAAGGACATCCTGAACAGCTCAAGAGCACCCACTGAAGAGAAGCAAAGGAACCCATCAGTGAAGAAGTTAATACTTCAGCACATAGTACAGAGGTTTAGCAGCAGTGTAATGGATATGAGCTGATTAATAATACATCGGTGATTAATACCGAGATGATTTTTTTCGATTAATAAGGATGCGGCAGAACTGCTCACTCAGGAAAGATGTTTCCAATCACCCATTTGAATGCAGTGACCATTGCCTAAATGCTGTGATTAAATCTGCATTTAAGACACTTCATTAAATTACAGCATAAGTGAATTCTTCTAACCCACAGCAAGAAGCATGCTCAGCCCTGGTGAGCAGAGGCAGAGAAAGGACAGGCCCCAGAAGTATGCTTGAGACTTGCAGGGTATCGCGTTGGCTTTGTCTGAAGGGATGATGTGCCCCCCACAAAGAGAAGATAAGGGTCCCACTACTGCCGCTGGTTAAAGAAGCTTTTCTGTAGATGGAGGGCAGCTGCCTGAGCTTCTCGAGCTGAAAGACCGAGGGTCTGGTTCAGGGTCCCAGTGCATGTCTGTGTGGGAGATGGGTGATGCTGCCTGCGCACATGAATACATTGCAGGTGCAGGACTACCCTTTGGCAAAAGTGGTTACCAGTCCTGTGCTGCCTGCTGACTCCCAAGCTGAGCTGACCTTCCCTTCGACCACTGAAAAAAAATGTAAGAAGGTTTAAGTATTTAAAAATGTTCCAAAGAGAGGGGGGGAAAGGGTTTTGTTATTATTCTAATATATTATCGTGTATACTGAAGCCCAGAGGGAGGAAAACCTACCCGCTGGATCCATCTCGCTGCCTAGAAACTACGAAGAGGAGAAGATAACAAGTGATTCTTAATCTACTCTTGCAAACAGGAGGCCTAGAAATGGAGGAGACTCGGACGCGTTATTCCCCATGTTGCACCTCAGAGCCCACCAACTGTCCATCACCCCTAATCCCTTGTCTTGAGCTCAGGACAAAAGCCATCTCCATAACCAGCGATCTGCAAACTCTTCTCCCACTTCCACAGGTGCAGCCACGACACGTTCGTGCCCGATTGACGCCGGCCTAACTCTGGAGGAGAACTGATCCCGTGTCGGCGGCTCCCCCAGAAGCAGGCCCGGCCGGCCCCTTGCCCGCCAAGGGCCCTCACACGCACATCCCTCCTCGGCATGTTTGTAAAACAATCTTTTTAATTTTCTGGTTGGCTTGGCAAATCACAGCTGCTCGTTCCCCAGAGCTCCTGAGCGCATTTGCACAGGTTCCCATTTACATACAGTAGGGCTTTTAATTTCCTTCTCGCCGCACGCTTCAGAAATAAGCCGTCTGAAATCTTACAGATGGCTGAGAGAGGAGGACACTCTTCCTAGGCGACGGAGGACGCGAGGGCCACATCACGAATAACACGGGCTTTGCTAAGCAGCTGAGCCTCCCGTTTGTTGGGGCTGCCCCTGGATGAAGGATCACACGAGGGCTTGAGCTCCACTCGTTATTTCTTTGACTCAATGGCTTTGCAGTTACCAAGCCCGAGCCAAGGTGCTTGAGTATTAATTGATACTTGCTGCTGAGTGAGGCTTATTAAACACCAGCTTTGGGGTGAAAGTGGCAGCTCGCAGAGGCGATAATGAGCAGAACAAAAAGTCCAGGACTCAAACTTCGCTTTCCTCCGGCATCTGTTACCGCAATTACAAGCCCAAAAAACACAACAACAGCCACCAGAAAAAGACTCTTATTAGAAAAGGAATAGCTCCCACAAATGCCTCCCAGTCACGGAAATGACAGGGATTTTCACAGCTTGCCACATTCTGCAGCTGGGTTAATTATTGTCGTTTTGGAGAGTGCTGCCCAACCTCAACACCAAATGAATCCCAAAGAAACACATCCAGCGTGTAATAGCGCCTGCTAATTCACCAGCGAACCCTCTGTGCCGATTGGCGGCGGCGGCCTCTCCCCAAAGGGTGCGGGGACTAGGGTGGCGGGGGAAGAATAATTAGCATTCTCTAGTAATTAATACAGTACAATTTGCACATATGGTGTAATTAGGGGGATAATTTATGCGTGCCACTGATGATAGTGTAGCTGATTTGCTGCCGCTGCTCTCGGGTTTCCAGTGTCCCGGTGAGCCACGCACAAGTTCGCGGCGGTGGCGTTTTGGATGCTCCCTTTGTCTGGAAGGCGACAGCGCAGACGAGCGCTTTCCTTGTGCCACTTCCAGAACATCCCTCCCCTGCATCTGGGACCCTGAAGGGCTGGGGGAAAGGGAGATTGGGGCAAAAGTGGGTAAAGTGAGGAAGGGGATGCAGAGAGGCTGCACCAGAGGAGGACAGAAGGGGTGGAGGATGAGCGCAAAAATGGCAGGAAGCAAATCTGAGGGATGTCGTGCCAGCGCATTGTCACGCAGGGGCTTTTTGTGGGCCCTGAGAGAGGAGGTCAGACACCCAAACGTGGCTCCTGGTCATGTTTTGGTGTTGATTCTCCGCTTTGGAGCCTGTTTTGCACCCTGAGAGTGAACAACACATGGAACTTCCCCTTATTGCCACCGATAATACCTGCCGTGGCCTGGAGGTGACCAACCCAGAGCTTGCAGAACGGGGTCCAGGCCCTTGGACAAGGCACCACGTCACTTAGTTATCGGCACAAACACGATAGTGGGATTGCAGCCAGGCCTGCGCGTTGCACCACAAACCCCAGCCTCCAGCAGAGCTCAGCCCTGCCTGGGGAGGAAGCTCCACCCGGGCTAGAAACAGCCCAGCAGAGCTCCTCGCAGCAGAGCCGGCACGGGACGGAGTAGGAGAGGAAGAGCAGAAAATGCCCAGCTGCTCAAGGTAGCTCTGCTCTCCTTCTCTGTGGCACGGGGAACAGCCTCACCCACTCCTGAGCCCAGGTGAGGGGCTTGTCCAAGAGCCAGTGCAGGTCACCCAGGAAGGAAGAAGACCATGCTGCCATCCTCATGAGGGACCCCAGGCAGAGTAAAGGTGAGGCTGGAAAAGGGAAGGCGTCTGGGTTGACATGGGGACAGAGCCGATGGGCTGAGGGGCAGAATTGGGGGCTGGCAGGAAGTGGGACAACGCGAGATGAGAGTTTCTGCAGCAGGGGTTAAAACCACCTGGTTCAATAAACTTAGCATTTCTAATTATCCCATACCCGTGCTGCAGACGGACTTGGGGTGGGGGGAGTTCAGACACCAAGAACCAGCCCTGAGCTGCACCATTTCTTCTCTTTCTGCAAGCATAAATCTCATGACTTTTTGGCCCACCATGGTGAAGTTTGACTCAGGACCTTTGAACTTTTGGGATCACTTGTAACAGCTGTGCATCTGAATGAGCCTCTGAGCTTCGTGCCAGGAACTGGAAGGATTGTAGTCTGCTGCCTGTGTGTCCTTAAAGTCACGAGGATGGTCAGTGCAGGCATGAAGAGATGCTTGGATGGACTGTAAGGATGCTACTACAAGGAACACTCTCTGGAAGTTAAGGTCCCTTAAAACAAGACTTTTCTTTCGCTCTTTGCTGTTGCCTCATAAGAATCCCTGAGATCCACTTCCCAGCAGCTCTGTAAGCAGCTAACTATGCCTAGACTCAGCATTGCTGGCCGTGGCTAATAGTGATGTCTATTCACAACACCTGTGCAAGCTCTCGAATTAGGAGCACATGGGGCCAGTCTTGTACCCTGCTGGTGAGGCAGTGAGAGAGAGTGGCTTGGTTTAGGGAAAGCCTAAGGAGTATTCCCGCTGCATTGGTGCACGCAGAGATCCTCTCCTGCCAAGGAAAGGCTCCACAAAAGAACAAGTGACAGCCAAGCATCAGTTTGCAGATGAACTGAAGGTGTGTTAGTTTTCCTCTATTCAGCACACTGCTTTACTGGAGGGGGGTGAGGGGGTGATGAACGCATGTAGTGTCCGAGTTCGTGGTCTCCTTTTGTGTTGTATGCTGTTTAAAACTAAGCCTGTTTCAGTTGCACTTACCCTTTTTTAAGTGTCTTTGGTGCCCTCAACTCTAGTAAGGGAACCTGGGGGTCTTCAGCTTTGCTTGGGGCAGAATTATCATTCAAATTATTTGGTATACAAATGCCCCTCCCTGCATGCAAGCCCCAAAGGGTGTAGGATCAGGGTCGTGACGGCTGTTTCCAGAGCATTTTGGCTCCCTGTTTAAAAAGGAAAAGTTGTCTGGCTTTGCACGCTGCAGGGGTGATCTCACAAGGTCCCTTCCAGCCCTAAATCTCTGTGAACGTGACTGAAACTTGAACCCTGTGTCACCTCTGGGCTCTGACACCTTATTCCGTTGTTTCAGAGACATGAGTTAAAAGAGCTGCACGTTTACAAATTCAATGCATAATTTACAGGCCCTACTGTGCTGTTATTAAGGCACAATCCAGTGGAAACATTGGATCAGTCCTCACAATTGCCCAGATGCTGTGCACCCGGGCAGCCCCTCCAAATGCAATTACACGGCAGTATCAATATTTGAGCAGATCTGCTTGTAATGGACAGTCCCTGGCATAAATATTTCACTATTGTGATAGATAAACCTAACCCAGACTTAGCGAAAGCTTCTCTGGCCCACCGCCATGACTTTACAAGAAGCAAACGCTGACGCAGCAGAAGAGGGAGTTATCAAGGAGTGAAATAAAAGCTCTTTTTCGGCAAGGTTATCAAGAGCCTCTGATCAGGTCTGTGTCCATCCACAGGCAGCAAAGGGGTAGCTGTATTTGCGAAGAGTAAGGCAATCCTCTTGTTTGATCTCTCAGACCAAGCAAGGCTGGATCTGACCAGTACTTGGGTGTGGGGCTAGGAAGGGAATCCAGGTTGTTGTGGAAAGTAACGTCCGTTGGTAGCATTTTTTTTTCCTCTGAATTCTTATACAACTGGTACAAACTGGGGCACTGCTGTGTGGCTGCTGGAAATGCACTTTTTCTAACACGCTATAAACTACCAGGTCTGGCCAATGTTTAGCCCAAGACTCAAACCCACCGCCTTTAATTTTGCAGCATCTTAACAAGCGTCCAGGCTGGATAACTGCCTCCTAGCTCCTATGTCCCAAAATGGATCCTTGTTTCTTTACATTCAATCCTAAACTCTTATTGTGTATTTAAAAAACCAAAGAAACCCAAAAGTGCTGCATTTCCCTTCTCTGTATGCAGCCTTCCTCCCTTATAGCAACGACTGCATGTCAATGATGTGTGAAGTGAATCCTTGGTACAGTTTGCAAAGAGCTCTCAATTCCCTCAAGGGACTTTTGCTATACAAATGTGTGCGTGTCCCATTTTAACCGTGCTTTCCTTACTGAGGTAAGAGGGAGGGTCTGAAAAGCCTGGGAATGAGAACAAGGGTGATTACCGTGTCTTATCTATGGAGTAGCTAATGGCTTAAAGTTCAAGGACCTGATTGACACAGAGAGAAGCACATGCTAATATTCCTCCAAGAGGAGGGAAAATTGCCTCTAATGGGTGTAATATCCAAAAAGAGCTAGGGTTATGGGGTGAGTGATGCCAGCATTTTTAAAGCACTTAAGCCTTAACATTTATCTAGGGTAAATTTATGCCACTTTTATGAAGTGCATCATGTTGACATGTTTTGCGGGCAAAGTGTCATGAGAGCGTCCCCGTAGGAGAGCAGAAGTGGCAGCATAAAAGGAATCGTTGTTGAAGCAAGGCAATGAGGAGGGGATGGTAGCCACTCGGGGTTTGTAGACATCCTGACTCCGCCAACTCAAAACGCTGTTGTTTCCAAAACCCCTATTGGCGAGTACAACATTTATTGCAATGTTCTTCTGGAAACGTGTCTGGAGTTAGTCAGAGATCCCTGTCGAAGTGCTCTGGATGGCTCGGTCGAGGTTCTCAAGGTTGGCCCGAGGATGAAGGAGCGTTGGGTGGGGTAGTCTGGTGACTGCTTCAAGCAGACTGTGTGCTGTACGCTAGTTAGTCCACATGCAAGGCAGCACATCTTGCTTTTCGGGCCTCCTCTTCAGGCTGAGACCTGGCAGCAATGGGACAAACCTCTAGGCAACTACCTAAATGTGTTTGGTCTCCTTCCCTCAGAGCAAGGAGCCAGTGCCAACTGGAGAGAGACCGCACCAGAGACCCATGCAGGGGAGATTTATTAGTCTCTAAGCTGGGTTTAAAAAAAAAACCAAAACAACCTGGGTAGTAATCCAAGTGATAAACTTTATGCTCCTCCATCACAATGAAATAATTGTTCTGCCTGAACATCATTACACTGTCATTTTTCTACTCCCATGTCACTTACTGAAAATAAAGACTTGCTTCTTCCTTTTATAATGAGCTGCAGTTTCAATAATTCACAAGGATTTTTACTGGGCTTTATTTTTAATCTTCATCAAGAAGTTATAAAATGTGTGTCACTCCTCCAAGTATTATTCAGAGGTCGGGCCAGAGGAAAAGGCAGGCAGAGAGTTGGCTTGCTCTGCTGCAATTCATTTTCTGGGCTTCTCTGATGCCATCGTGGAAGTCTTCTGATGATGACACGGGACTTGAAGCATGTTATAGTGTCTGTGACCCAGCTAAGGCTGTGAGCTAGGGTGAGACCGGTCCCTGGGACCCAAAGGTGGGGAGGAAGAGTGCTTTTACTGTTGCAGAGTTGAGTGGCTAAGCTGGTTGTAAAGCCTTTCATGACCATGCCATTTCCTGAAGCTCTGTGTTTGACTTGCTTTATAGGGCTGAACTGAACACGGTCAGGTTGGGTGCTTGGCTGGAATTGTTCATTAACAGTTTTGGCTGTCATTTAGCGCGTGGAAGCCAGCTTTCCTGTTTCAACCGTCTCTAAGATGCGCCTGTGGTAAGTGCTGTTCTTTCTTAGACGTCATCAGTGATGTATTTGGAGTTGTTCAGGACATGATGAGATGGCGAAAGGGTGTTGGAGCCAGGGACTTTTAACCCAGGTATACAGAGAGCACAGGATCTCAGAGCGGGGTGTTACCATGGGCCCTGTTTGCATGTCCAAATGCAACCTCCAATGCCTGTTTTATTCTTGCCTTGACCTTGGAAAGTGGCTTAGTGACGATCCAGCTGGGAACGGTTGGGAAATTCAAGTGAAAGATGCTATCCGGCGTTTGCAATAATGTAGTCCTCTGTTTGGGAGCATATAGGTATCTGTTTAATTCTGATGTACTAAGACCTGCATCGTTTGGACCCTGGGGAAGTTTCTGAAGCAGCACACAGTTTGCACAATTGTTCTAAGCTACAGAAAAACCTCCTCTTCTCTCCCTTTCTATTTTTCTGCTCGCTGCTAAAATTACCTTCGTAATGTGGTTGGTTTCTTTTGTGTTTTTTTTAATTTAAGAATTCATTTTCAAGAAATAGGAACCTCTCAGCCAGATAAGAAGTTTCATCTGTCTCCAGGAAAAAGGATATGGGATTTTTGTGTCACTAATCCGGTAACATCTGAAATTATGGTGCCACTTATGAATGCTTCCTTCATATTTATGAAATGATTATTCGACAGAGCGACATTTAATATTGTTGAAATAATTACTATGCCTATGTAATACATCAATTTAAGTTATTATCACACATGCTATGAAATGCCGGATAATTTCATAAATAATTATAAAACAGTCCTACAATACTTTGCATTACGGTTCCATTTGTTGCTAATCCTTTATCTTTCATAAACACAGAAATAACAATTAGATTTCTGAAATGGAGGGGGACTAATGACATCGGGGTAAGCAGAGCTGTTTCCCACCGTGTGCAAATCTGAGCACCAAAGAAGTGTAAGCATCAGACCAAGAATAAAGCTGTCGCCACCTATTTCATGAAAAGATTTAATTTCATCGTAGTTTTACCTGTATCTGTTCACCAGAAGGGGATGAGATTCATGTTGCTGGCAGTGCATGAAGCAATGTTCTTCAGCTTTATGAAATAAATTTTCAGGAATACGTGAACTGCCGCACAGATCAGTCCAGTGGTCCAGCCTAACCTATTTCCCATCAGCAGGATCAGCTAGTAACAGCTGCTTTATGCAGGGAGCTCTAGCATAACAAGAACGGGCTCTTCCATGCCACTAAGCAATGGTTAGATAACCTGCCCACCCATAGCTTGTCCCCCATTGATGCAGGGTTGCTTACGCCCCCAAACGTGAAAGCTTTTCCCCATCAAAACTTTTGGAAAGGTTGCTGTCTTCTACAGTTTAAGTGCAGTTAATTAATGTGAAGTGTGTGTGTGTGTGTAGCATTTCTTTCGTTTCAGGACAAAAATTTCATGCATGTCAGATAGAACTGGCTAAAATAGTTTTGATGAAGACCTTTGGCTTTATTTTACCCTTTTTCCCCACTGTTATCTATTGCAAAAGAGAGAGATTTTAAAAGGCTTGGAACAAAATAGGGGGAAGACTGCTGACTTTCAACATTTTCCAACTGGAATTTTTGTTTTTTCCGTTTAGAAAACATTTTTTTGATCAAAGCACAAAAATATTAAAAGGATAGTTTTCTCCAGAACTGTTTCTTTGAGTTCTAATGCTAGATCATATACAGGAAGGAGCCGACTGCGGCTAGAGGCCCCGTCTGAATAAAGAAGAGCATTTGCCCACATTTGACCCTGTGAACAAAGCACCCCTATCTATTTATTTTATTTTATTTATTTATTTATTTTTTACTAAATTTCTCCTCCCAGAATCCCCCAAAGTAGGAGCTTAAACTCTTTGCTTGATGAAGCAGAACTGCTGTTGAAGCTGTGTTGGCATCTTCAATTTAGTAATAGCCGGGAGCGGTCAGAAGCTCAACCAAACCCCGTAACCTGGATGGGAGCAGCGACCCACGGGGACCCTGTTCCAGGCCCACTTCTAAGGAAAGATCATCCAAATCCAGGCCTCCATTAGTGTCTAAACTACCCCTTTTTCTGCTCCTGGCTCTCTGCTGTCTGCCTCTAAAACAAAACCATTTGCCGTGGCGTTTTGCTGCAGTTGGAACAGAGCGAAGAAGGGACTTTCTTTTCTGCTCTCACTCCTCTCCTCTTTCCACTGCTGTTGCCTTCAGAGTCTCTCTCCAGTTTCCAATAACACTCTACACAATATACTCATTGTTTCTTGTTCACCAGCTGAAGTTCAAAAATAATGAAGGGAAAACATCCTTTGCCAGAAACAGATGCTGACTCCTTGCTTAATGGCAAATTGTCTGCAGTATTCCTCTCTGGCTTCGTCTCCTCTCGAATCGAGTAATGACATCCTGACTTTCCTTCTCTGGGGGGAGTCCAAATGCTTGTGATTTATTCTATGGGACAGTGAAAGTAAGAAAAATGGACTTTTATTACCCTTCACCTTACCACCGTGGGGCTCACCAGTGCCAGTGTGCAGCAGTTTTACTGTCTTACAAGGTCACAGTAGGGCAAGAATCATTGAATGGGGGTTCAAAAACAGTGTCTTTATTGTGCCCAACACAAGCCTACATATCTTACTGGTATATAATAAAGAACAACAGTTCTCAAGGGTATATTAGTGATGGTTGAAATGTTTTAGGACAACTGAGGTGGTGGAATTCCTGTCCTTGAAGGTTACGAAGATCCAGCTAGCCCAAGCCTTGATGCGATGCTATACGTGGGACTGGTCCTGCTTGGAGCAGGGGGTTGGACTAGATGTGACCTCCTGAGGTCCTTCAACCCTCATTTTCTATGAGTCTATGAAGCCATCTTTCCTGACTCCCAGAAGTTTATATTACAGTAACCATTGCAGCGAAGCCCCAACCATCGGGCAGTTGGACTGCGTTCAGTTTGGTGCTACGAAGCGAGTCGAACAGAAAGCTTGTTAGTCGACTTTCTAGTGATCCACGATGCAGCACATACGAAGTGATGGGAACCCTTGCTTGGGCCTGTTCGGGAGTGTCTGGCAGTTCGGTGGTTTGCATAAATACAGTCTGTTCTGTTCGCCATGTGTCCACATCACACAAATCCCAACAGTATCAACACCCAGTCAATACTGGAGAAGGGCCAAAAAAGGAGCCCTTCATTTCACGGGGATGCTTCTTCTATCCAAAGGGGATGTTAGCAGAGGGTGGTAGGAGGAAAGCTTGTACTACCTCTACCTCTATGCATGCTGCACCTGGTGGCAGGATAAATGCAAGGGCTTTGAGTCGAGGACTGTACTTCCAGCATCTTCCCTTAGTGTTCACTTCCCTTTCGTGAGCAGGCTGGGAGGAGAGACGGGGAAAGCATCTGGTAGCGCTCGGGTCCATGAGCGTAAATGGGAGTGCTTTTCCAGATGTTGGCTGTGAATTATTACAGTTTCGGTCAGCTCTGGCAACCCCTTTTCATGTGCAGATGGTAAAAGACATTCTCAAAGCCACTGGATCACTTTGCTTCTTTCCCAGGGTCCCAGTAATTTGTGTTTCCCAGGATCCCGGTAATTTGAGTTGCCTTAGTCCAGATAGAGGACTAAATTCTGCGCATCTGCTCAGTGGCCTGTGAGAAGCCCACAGCAGTGAACTGCACAGCCAATAAAGCCCTGCTTGCCGATTTCCTGTGTTAAACCCTGGCCTGGCACTTCATAAGCCCCAAACTCGCTGCTGGTGGGCATCTTGTTTTAAGCCATGCCTATAAGCGTAACAGCCATCATTAATCTTCAGACATTTCATTTTCTGGAGGTTTATTAGCACATTATTAATTAGCACGTGGGACCAATGGGAGGTTTTGTTAGCACTTTCATCTGCCATTTTCAAACCTGTCATCACTTTCCTCTGTTTGCGCTAGCAGCTGCTAAATGCCCCTTTTGAAAAGAAAAACTCCTTGCAGTGGTGGCTCCTCTAGCTTTGAGTGCGGAACAAGTGGCTATTGCAGGGTCTCTAAAATGCAGCAACGGCTCACATAAGCCGTTCTGTCCATTGTATCCATTGCTGATTCCTCCGGCATCAATTTAAACTGGTGAGAGATGCCAGATTAACAGAATGAACTGGTACCTTGTGGGCAAGGGTTCCCCCTTTGTGGGTCAGAGGAGAGCTCAGCCTCTCTATTGGAAGCTTTCCAGCCGTGGTGCAGTCTTATGCACCAACATGACAATCGCTTCCTCTGCTCTGGTGCATCTAAGGTCATGCCAAAGATGGGAGGAAGAGGATCAGACTTGTAAGTCTGTGCCAGGGAGGGAAGTTTTCTAGGTCCATTTGCCAGTTTTTGGCTTCTTTATAAGTTCTTGTTTTTCCTGGTCAGCTCACCTGTAAAAGATCCCAGGGTTTTGGGGGGGTTTGTTTTTTTAATAGGAGTTAAGCAAGAGAGATTCTAGCATGTCTTACTATTGTGAAGTGCCCTGTATGTTATTAAGGCAGGCAAGGTTCTTTGGGTAAATGTGATCTCTTTTGTTAACCCAACTAAATAGTTGGGGAAAAAGTTATTTGCAAGTTTTTGGGTGCACACACCCTTCCTCCAGCATTGGGCTGGATGTTACTTGGCTGAAGTTTTAGTGGTGGGGCAACATGTAGATTCTGGAGTGACTGGGGTTAGTCGAAGGCGCAGGTAATATAAAGCAGTGCCTTGACCCACCATTTCTGGAGTCTTTTGATTGCATCAAATCTTCCATGTAAAAAAAAAATAAAGTGTAGTTTCTAATCCTTGTCGTTGCAAAGGAGACTGTGCCCCAAGTGCAACCAATGCAGAGAGATCTGCTGGCGTCTTTGGAGAACCTGAAACAATAGCCATTGCTGGGGTGGGCGGAGGAGCCCATAGCAGTGCCCTGGCTCTGCAGGAGTGTCAAGAGGGCATCGCCAGCCCACAGGGTGCAAGAGGTACCAGAACAGTGCCTGCATCGAGATAAGTCTAAGACCTGTAGGTGATCTTGCTTCAGTGCTCTGTAAATAT